ATGATGACGACGACGACGATGATGATGATGATGACGACGATGATGATGATGACGACGATGATGATGATGATGATGACGACGACGATGATGATGATGATGATGATGACGATGATGATGATGATGATGATGATGACGACGATGATGATGATGATGACGACGATGATGATGATGATGACGACGACGACGATGATGATGATGATGACGACGATGATGATGATGACGACGATGATGATGATGATGATGACGACGACGATGATGATGATGATGATGATGACGATGATGATGATGATGATGATGATGACGACGATGATGATGACGACGATGATGATGATGATGATGATGACGACGATGATGATGATGATGATGACGACGATGATGATGATGATGACGACGATGATGATGATGATGATGATGACGACGACGATGAAATTTCTGAAAATGCGATGACATAAAAGTGAATAAAAACAAATTGCTATGAAAATGATTCAATTTCAGATGAATAAACAAATATAAAAATAAAGCTAATTATGATGACGACGCGATAAATATTTGTTGCTAGTTGATAAAGTTATTTGTTAGATATAGGATGTTATGATGATGATGGCAACTTGAATTTGCAGGAGCAGGAGCAGTAGCTGTAGGAGGACAAGGAGGAGCATCGTCATCATCATCAGCAGCAGCAGCAGCAGTAGTAGTAGTAGTGCTAGTAATTGTTGTTGTTGTGGAAGCTATAATAGCAGTAGCAGTCATTCTGTTATTTGAAGTCATCAACATTCCACATAACATGACTCACAAAGGCAGAGCCAGAGCGCACAAAAGTACTGAATCATAAATAACAAGACCACGTCCAATGTATCAAATAGTTTGAAGAAACAACAGCCAGTCAGCCGACATTAGCCCAATCATGTATTATTACTGTACGTTAACTACACAATAATGCTTAATCTGAACGACCTAATATAACTGAATCGAATTTAAATAGCATCATAAATCGTAAGTTCAACATAACATAGAGCAACATGACGTATAAACATCGAACTGGCTACCAATAAAAAGTGCCGTGTGCTATGTATTAGGCAAACATTCATTCATTCATTTGTGAACTCTTACACTCTTGCAAGTACAAAAACAATAAGCTAACTAATAAATGCTGTACAGTTAGATATAATAATAATTATATATATATATATGTGTGTGTGTGCGTATGTGTGTGTGTGCGTATGTGTAGTGTGTGTGTGCGTGCGTATGTGTAGTGTGTGTGTGCGTATCTGTAGTGAGTGTGCGTATGTGTAGTGTGTGTGTGTGTGTGTCTGTGTGTGTGTCTGTGTGTGTGTGTGTAGTTTGTATGTATGTATATATATTTACTTTTATACATATGCATACACGCATAAGCATTACGCCACGTTGCTACAAAGTACAAACCCACTTGAAGATGAATAGGATATCATTCACAAACATCATCATCATTCTCATCGTTCTCATCATCGCCTCCATCATCCTCTACATCATCATCGCATGCATCATCATCATCGTTCTCCCCATCACCATCATAGCTCCTCTGTACATCATCGTCGTCGTTAAAAAATTAACAACGACAGTAAGATAAAAAATACGCTAACAAAAATAAAGCACAACTGCATAAACAAATAAACAACATAAACAAAAAATATAAACAAATAGACAAGATGGTCGTTATAGTTAGGGACATCAATAACAGCATCAACAAAAAAACCTCATCACCATCAGCAGCAAAAATACTTTCCATCCGCACATCACAAACAGCATCCAGCCAGCTGTGTTGTGTTGTGTTGTGTGAATAGATTAGAAAGCTAAGACCCAGTTATCTCATCTGTTTATGTGTTTGGCCTTTATTTGGCAGCACACACGCCATATATACTCACTCACTCACTCACTCACACACACACTCACTTACTCACTCACTCCCACGAACACACACACAAGCGAGCGCGCTCACTTTCACGTACACACGTACACATCACATTCCAATCCACTTTAAAAGCACATACATTATAAAAAGCGAAATTCCTACGTATATTAATTCTCTCACATCAATGCGTAAAAATATTGTCAGCATTATAGTTGGTACCGGGTAAACAATTCATAACAGGATATTGGTAAATTATTCGAAAAGATCTTTATTTAGGAACGTGTCAGTCTTATTAGAAATTGATACACAAATTCGGCTTCGGTCGAATTTGTGATTTCAAATTCTGCAAAATTCGGCTTCAGCTTCAGCCGAATTTTCAAAAATCGCATTAGGTACAACCCTACCACAAACACAATCATTCGAGACATTCCATGCATGTAGTCTTTCATACTGACACATATCACACACAGACTAATTCATACTTTTGTAAATAGCACAAAATATCACTATCGTCCGAGCACACACATACACACACACAAACATACAACGGCACACAGTCGTACATGCACATTTACCAATATTGATACACTGATTAATACATAATTATCAAATTTTGCATAGAAACATTGGGCGAAACTTTGACATTTGGAGGAAAAATATCCGACTCCGGCTCTTCAAAAATCCGACTCTCTGATCAAATGGCAATTGTTTGGCGGAGTTGGTGCTTGAAATTGGAAAGAAGGACGTGAAAGCATTCAATTAACAAACCAGCCTTGAAGAGCTTGGTACATTTGTTGATTCATACAAAACCTAAAAATTTGGTTTTGTAATAATCAATTCAGGACCGCGACAAAACTTTCGTTTTCAATCTATGATCGTTGTACTGCAGTGAATTCAAAAAAACATCCACTGGCTAACCAGCAAAAGAAGACTTCTGATTAAAACAGCGTGTATCATAAAATGAAGTTTCAGGTTGATTTAGTATGCCTAATATAATATTATTTGTTTTTGCACTAGGAAACTAGGTTAAAAGTTCTTTAACAGTCAGGCGTTGCTTCTGAAACTCTAACATATCTATGTTATCTTTTGAGATTTTTTAAAACACTACATGCATTTTTTTAACACTTCATACATATAAGGAACACATACATTATTAACAACTTAACTACACACCAAATATACACAAACGCACACACACACACACATATATATATATACATATATATATATATATATATATATATATAATATATATATATATATATATATATATATAGTAATTTCATTTTATTATTTTGTTCGGAGACATGGCAGACTTGATGAATGAACACACGTGCTGGGTAGCAAGCGTTCATAAAAACAATAAATTATAAAAGTTAAACAACGTAAACATCAATTAAATACACTTTTTTCAGTTCTTCATCATTCACGACCGCATATACAAACACTGATTCATAATGTTCGTACGCTACATTTGTGGACATTTCCATTTGGCTCGTACGTGTAAAATGCATAAACTAATGAGTCGACTTCATAATAAGTCGACTTCTACAAGTTGACACACGTTCTTAACGACTTGGCCGGATTTAAAATTCAAAAACCGGCCGGGGCCGGATTTTAGTTACCATTTTACATACGTTAGAAAAAATACTCACATTTACGGTTATCTACATGTTGAACATCAAAAAATAACACCAAGCAAATAGTTGTATAATTCAAATATATGAATAAGTTGTGTGATACGCCAAATTCTGTACACAAAGATCAGCTTATAATTTATGCAAATTTGCATAACCCAAGTTAAAGCACTAAGAAAATTGTCCAGCTCACCGCACAATTAGTGATGTTGTAATTATTTGTCATGTATACCTAGCCCAACCTTTAACATACCATGTTCTTAAATTATGTGCTTATGTATCTCTCTCTCTAATTATATATATATATATATCTTTATATATATATATATAGATATATATATATATATATATATTATGTAGCTATATGATCCGTCATGTGCAATTATCAATATATACTATATACACGTGCACAAGTTCTTTTACACAAAGATCAGCTTATAATTTATGCATAACCCATGTTATAGCATAAAGAAAATTGTCCAGATTACCTCACAATTAGTGATGTTGTTATTGTGTGTCATGTATGCCTTTAGCTTAGCCTTAGTCTTTAACTTATTGACATAAAATTAATTGAATTCAATAAAATTTTTTTTCTATTTCTAACATTTTTAAATTAGATAGACGCTTAAATCCGGCCCTAAATCCGGCCGGGGCCGGATTCGACCGGATTTGAAAAAAAAGCCGGATTTTGACCGGGGCCGGAGCCGAACTTCGGTGCATCCCTATTTATAAGGCAGTTCAGTGAAGCCCAGAGTCTCTTACATGTTGTTCTATACTTGTAATTGAAATTTTAAAATTTTTATCTTCCTTGATGAAAATATATATGATAGATATATTTATAAGAATGCATAAAACTTTTTCAACTGAGCACAGCTTTATATCTATTGAATATAACCCAAAAAAAATTATTTTTCTAATCCCAAATATTTAACTTTGGTTTTTAAACAAAAAAATCATTCTTTTATGTTAAAATTATAGAATTTCAGCAAAATAATAAAAAAAATAATTAACTAAAGGTTTTTTAGCTTGAATAATAAATCATAGAATAACAAAGTTCTCGAAGTAGATTTTCGTGTCCGCATTGTCTTCATTAAAGCAATGAGCCGTCTATTTCTGATGAATTGGTTGATCACCATTATCCTAACTTACTAGGTTAAATTTTACATACACCTTGTAAAATACAAAATTTAAGTTATATTATTTTGTGTTATCATTACGCAATTTATATTGTATGCCGTATTGGAAAACTTCTGGAAAGATTCTTAGCCCCTTAGTCTCCTGTCATACTTTACCTTGCGTTAAACTAAGACCTAATTTGTAATAATTATTATTTATTGGGTTGGCTTCATTCTTTATTAGGCTTTATATTTTATATATATATATATATATATATATATAAACAACAATATATATATATTTAGGAACGAGGTTTTCATTAATACATATTTTGTTAAATTTATTTGCCCATTTTG